TATCGTGGAAACCGAAACCGAAAATATAGGGTCTTTGCTAGCTTTGGTATTATCTTGACTCAACTCATGGTCACAGCTTACCGGTCACGCTACTGCGATATTTTTGTAAGCACATAGCGCATTCGGTACATATAACTCCAAAGAATAAAGAGAAAAATATACAGCATCAAGCATCACCGATGTAAGCTTTCTATACAGAAACGCTTAAGTACATTATCAACAAGTCAAAACATGAAACAGAGCAATTTATTTTAATAATCATAGCTTGTCTGAAAGAGTAGGTAAGGTGTGACATGGTATATACGTAGGATCTGTAAAGTAGTAGTGTGTGGAAGTCTTAGGTATCTGTGTTGAATATTTTAATTGGCTTTGTCTGGACGTCGATTGACTGGGCGGAGAATATGCTGGCCAAAAATCTGAAAGAGAACAAATTGAAATGTTAGTATTACGTGCACATGAAACCGAACGTAAGGGGCATATAAGGTTTATTTGTTCGAGTGTCCTCACTCTAAGCGCCTACAAACGGTTCAACCGTGACTCTACCCTATGTGAAAAACTTGGTCAGTGGGGGTAGTTAAATTAGATTAGAACTTACTGTCAAAACTGTACGCGATACCCAAGCTTGACTTCAGTATGTTGCGAACTGATTAATGGGAAGATTAACATAAATAACTATCAACTATGTGATATTCTTGCCAAGTATTAACGACATATCTGGGTTACTCTTTAAGTATTGAGTCACATAAAATCGTTTGAATACTTAATACATTAGCTGATATGGAAAGGACGATTTAGACAATGATATTTCATCATTGTCTCAACGTTACTACGAGTGATATTCTAGAGATAACCTTGGCGAAGGTGCATTGACGTAGCCTAGACATTTTACTCGGAGAAAATCTTCACGACCGTGATCATGTTGATAATACTGCATGGCAGTGTATAGAATAACACAGTTAACTGCTTAGTTAGATTGCAGGATACTACTTTTTTTCCTTCAGAATTTCTCAAAAAGGAGCACTATCGGTCTGTATAATAAGAAATAGAATGGTGTGTCGGCTCTAAAGTGATGTCTGCTTTGTAGCATCTTCTTCAGTCCCAGGTCATTAGTAGTCTACTCATAATCAAATTGTGTTAGTTTAAGCGTTAGATTTTAAAATTCCCGAAATATATATATGTATAATAGCTGTGTTGTACGTTTAGTATCTTAAAGACAGGATCAGTATGATTAAGGAAATGACATACCAGTGAATGAGGAGAACCGTTGGGTTTACGTTTGGGTGACCAAATATCTTCACGTCCAGGTCCTAGGCCAGAGTCAAGATGATTATCTGACTGGCTTTTTTCTTCACCGCTAGTAGAATTGTCCATCATAGAACGAAGATGTGAAAATTTAGAGTGTAATGCTCGAGCGATAATTGCACACGGATCAGAGCCACTGGAACAAACAAACAAAAGATCACACTTTTAATGGTTATAGAACTGTGGTGAAAATTTGCTCTCACTACACATACGAAATATTCTCACCTGATTGTAGGAGACCGTTTTTTGTTTTATCGGTGTGCCACCGGGTGATCTTGGTATTGAACGTAGTTTAATGGATCCACTTTGTAATTCTTTCAACACTTGTGACATATCAGCAGGATTTTGTGATATCGACAAATTACTTTTTATTGGTGTAGATGTTTTATCTGTGCAATTATTCTGAAAAAGATATACAAAGTTATTTTATAACTGAAATAAGGAAACAATTTCTCTTAAATTAATAAGAATAAATAAGAAAATAAAAGTTCCCATGTTTATAGCTTTGGCATCCAATCAAAATATTCTCCTTATTAGTGTGAACCCACAGCTCTAAATTCGTAATTACTTTACGTCGATTAATCACCATCATTATACCAAAAGTGGAATTCTCCAGATAACAACTCATCAGTAGTTCAACACAAATTTGGTTCGTATAAAAACAAATAACATTCACTGAACTACTAGCAAGAAGTACATTAGCAGTTAAATAAATATGCAAGAATAATTACATGTTAAATTGCTCATCCAAAATACAAATTATATGCATGATCAATAGTCAACTATAATCAGAAAAGATTAAAGGATGAAGACCAATATTCAATGATCAACTAATGTAAGTATCTCAGTATTCCAGGAGGTAGATCACTACCCAAATAGTTCACTGGCAACGCCTAAGACCATGTAACATGGAAAGTCATGTTCGAACCCACTAGGAAGAATAACTTCTCAAGAGATTGGCAGTTGCGCTTTGCTGATAAGTGCCAACTACCACAAAACCCATATCGAACAGGGTCTTCTGCAGACTAAACTAAAATATAGCGCACAAGATGTAAGATCACTTAGAGTAGTAACTTATAAATCAACAGAAGTTTATCAATACTAAAGACTAAACAAACATGACAATCACAACTACTCAGTGATCAATCAATGTAAATAGGATATTACCAGTATTAAATGTAATAACAAATTAGGAAATGTTAAAATCCAAGGATTGGTAGCTACTTCTCCCTGAGCAACTCATAGTATTAAACAGAAGAGAATTTAATTGTCAGATAATAAAAATGGAAACTCGGCTGTATATATATATATATATTTTTAGGTACCCCTTTGTACCAATGTTTACGTGTTTAATTAAATAATAATAAAAGGAAACAAATAGTTAAATATTAAAGATGTTTGAATATGTGTATGAAAAAGGAACAGTGTAATGCAATAATTAGTGCCTTTTCCAACAGACGGCAGAAAAAAGGTCCATCATCAAATATATTGTGATCTTAACAAAATACTTATGAGTGATAATTAAAATATTAAAAAGGACAATTTTATGCTCAAAGTCTACTCAAAATTGTAGCATGAAATGTGATGTATATAGAAATAAAGCTTGCCGTTTGGTCTAACCGAAAACAACCAACGATTAATTATCAAAAAAGTTCCTAGCTGTGAAATAAAAATCACATACATAGAGAGGACTAAATTTCTTTGAACTATACCTTTTTACTTCTTAACCTTGCTTGCAATTGTTCTCTCCAATTGCTACTACCATTTGCTCCTCCTTGTAGTGCAGGTGAAGAAATCATGGGCGGTGGTGGTGGCGGCGGCGGTAGTATTAATGATGTTGAAGTTAAACTAGCTGAAGGAATAGGAGATTCTGACAAATTGTTGTTAAACTTTGTTTCATCATGTTGCATAAACTAGGTGATCCTGTGGCGGCGATGGCAGTATCACTCTCACCATCTGCATCTGGACGATGAGGAAAGCGATCTCGTCCTAAGTCACATGTGCTTGATTTGCCTGATTCTTGAGCTGAACTTAACTGAGCAATTTGTGATCTTAAACGAGAAATTTCAGCTTCTAATTGTGAAATACGATTTGATCTAGATGATGAATGAAAATGTTCATCAGAGCTGTCTGTAGTATCTGAAGTATTATTATTATGATACAATTTGCCATTATTTTAGTAGACTCTTTAAGGCGCTTTCCTATATAATAAATGTTTTTCAGTATGAATAAAAAACGTTTACGGTTAGTAATTGACTACTCAACAATAATAAAAAAAATAAGCATACTTACAACAATTGGAAAGTCTAGCAAATCCAAATATTCAACTGTCTACTAAAATATGTGCAATGGTGGTCGTTTGCACATAGGAACAAGTTAGAAGAAGTCAAGCTAAAAACATGTATTATCACTGTCCATAAAGCGACTGATCAGTAGTGGGGTTTCAATTGTGTCAAGGCGTTGACTTTCTGTTTGAGGTCCACATGATAATCACAATGGATAGCGTTTTGAGACTTTAGCTATGATACAGCTTGAAATCGGTTGCAATATCACAGATGTATTCACAGTTTATTTTCTACAAAATCGTGGGTTTTATTATTATCAAACAACGAAATAATATGGACAGATGCCACCTGAAATGGATGTGGTGAAATGATGACAAGTGTCAACTAGCAGAAGACCTAATCTAGGAGTTCCTGTCGATCAGCTCTAACCATCTACCGTCATAAAATTATTTCTGCAACAGTACGCAAAACTTTACATTCAATTTACCAAAATTATACAAAAGATAAAATCACATACCTCTTTTATTTTTTCCACGATACCTATAATTACTGTACTGTGTTTTGTTTGATTTCATAATTAATTTTTGATCATTATTATCACCAGTAATGTTTTTTATAGATTTTATTTCAGAATCTGGTAAACTGGTATATATATTGGAAAATGAACCAACATAATACACTGGAACATTAGACTCTTGATAATTTTTAAATTTTTTATGTGAATTAAAAATAGAAAATGAACTGGAAACAGTATCTCGATTGTCATTGTAACAGGGTAAAGAAGTTAAATGTGAATTCCGATTTGGTTCGTTATAACTATCATCATCATTACTATTGATAGGATCTGTATAACTTGAAGTATATAACTAAAACAAAATAATATGTGGAATAAACAATAAAAAAGAGATTAATTATTGTGATCATTAAATAATGAAACTATTAAAAATTTTAATAACTAGTAGAGTATCGAGTTTCTATCAAAAGGAATTCCTGTTAAGATCCATTTTATAATACGGATCTTGAAAATGACTGAAGAAGAAATGATTCTTCTCTTATTCATAAATTAATTAATAGGAGATATAGGGGAAGATCCTTGCAAATTGTATCGTTAAACGTGAAAAGTAAATTGAAGATACATCTCTTTGTGATAACACTTCTAGATAGGGAGTCGGTATTCTACACACTTAGAGTATGATCCATACCCAAGTAATTAATTATTTATTGTACATTAGTATTTACCATAGCATTACCGATGTCTTTGCAGATAAGACAAATGGTTCCACGAAAGGGATGACATAATTGAGTACATGCAAAACAAATAGCATAGTAAGTTCAAATAATAATAATAATAATAATAATAATAATAATAATAATAATAATAATAATAATAATAATAATAATAATTGAGCTTACCACATTGGAATCTGATGCCGAACAATCACAATCATCATATTCTGAGTTTTTACTTAATAATACATTACTATCAATATTCAATCTCGGAGCCAATGAACCGTTTGGCAAGAATTTAACTATATATCGAACCGAGCAAAATGAACGTACGTAAGTTAGCTAGTGAGAGAATAAAAACAAAACACAATTGATTCAATAACAATTATTTGACGTTACTATACTATACGTTACTATACTTTCAGAGATAGCACTTTCATCAGCTAAACCCCCAGGAGTTGAACTTTTACCAGAAGGCTCACTTGTTGACTTAGAATACGTCGACGACATAGTTTTACTCGGTGAAGACGCTGACAACATGCAGAGTCTTCTGACCACTATAAGCAACTATGCAGGCATGTTCGGAATGCGATTCTCTCCCTCGAAGTGCAAAATGTTACTTCACGATTGGGTTGCATCGACACCTGAACTAATGATACGGAGTGAAGTTGTTGAGCGTGTAGACCACTTCACTTATCTTGGGAGTCTCATCAGCCCTTGTGGTCTGGTATGTGACGAAATCTCAGCACGGATACAGAAGGCTCGTCTAGCTTTTGCAAACTTGCGTCATTTATGGCGTACGCGAGATATCCGTCTAGCAACCAAAGGACGGTTTTACCGTGCAGCAGTTCGCTCCGTCCTACTTTATGGTAGTGAAACATGGCCAATAAGAGTAGAGGATATTCGTAGGCTACTAGTGTTCGATCATAGGTGTCTTCGAAGCATTGCTCGTATATCTTGGGACCACCGGGTAAGTAATGCAGTTGTTAGGAAACGATTACTAGGTAGGGATGGCAAATCGATTGATGAAGTAGTGAAACTTGATCAGTTGAGATGGCTGGGACATGTGTTACGTATGCCCGACCACCGACTGCCCCGACGTGCAATGTTTCATGGTGTAGGATTAGGTTAGAAGAAAGCTAGGGGTGGCCAGACCAAAACGTGGCACGAATCAATGAAGTCACTTACAAGTGGACTGGGCTATGTTGGTAGGTGTAGACTACCTGGTTGGGATTCGCGAGATGATAGCAACCGATGGTTAGAGACCTTGAATGACATGGCTCAAAATCGTTTGCAATGGCGAAGGTATATCCACTCTTTGTGTTCTACCAAATTCTAATCTGGATTCTTCATGTCTGTATCCTTTTTCTCTTTCCAAATTTATTTCACTGTACTATACTCCTTCAATAATTTCTTCAAACCCTAATCTTTTGGATTTCTGATTATACTCCTACTACTTCTACCACAATAAGATTTGAATTGACAACTGCATATCTGTGCTAATGTGGTATGGCAACTCGAACTGATGTACGTACGTACGAACTTCTACGTTGTGACTGACTGATTTGACGTTAGAAATAGGTAATTGAAAATTAGATTATTAAAAACCGCAATCTTTTTTAGTTTATTTCGATTTAATTTTACTCTGAACTGTTGCCAGTGATTTCAAATTGCTCAAGAAATGAATGTCGAATGTCCAACAAATACAAACATTATGAATATTTATACTTATTCAACAATATCTTTGAGAAATCACTCATTCAGGTGTGATGGATCCACTGTCTACATGCCGTCGAAGTTACAGGTCTTAGATAATGAAAGAAAATTGGTCAAGAGAATTGGAAACAAAAAGTGAACAGCACTGTTGGTAAAGCCATTTCTTAATGAAAATTAATATTTTGAATGGAATAGTAGTTGAATGAGGAAAACAACTCAGTGATAAGATAAAGTGGAGGGATCCTAGTAGCCAGGTTAACTTATATTGGAGAAATGTAGGTTGCTGATAAGTTGAGGTTCACGAGACAGCTGATATCAATGGTTATCATTCCCAAGTGACCCAATAAAACAAGGGCATCTCTATATACTGTTATATCCTAGTGAAGGTTAAAGTACGGGTAACTTCTGTGAACTAGTAATAGACTAATATTCCATAAATGTTCTTATTGTATAATTATTGAGTAATTAGGTTGTGTGTATCCATATTCATCTTACTATAAGCTTTATTTTGACCTATAGATCATTACTATATGTGTTAAGCTAAATTATTATTGGAATCTTACAAAATAGTGACACAGATTTGGATCAGACTTACCAAGTGTTGCAACATCATATTCAACGGGTATGTAGTCATCTAAACTGGCTGAATGTCAGTTGATTCGAAGAAATGAAAAATAACCTCTGTAAGACAAGAATTGTAACTACGAAGTTAGTCAAATATAAAACATTATTTTGATAAACATATACTGAATAAAAGCGAAACCCACTGACTAATAAAAAAGAATGGTGTTTTGGCGAAGAAAACTTTCTTTTCAATGATATCAATTTTATTGAGCTTTACAATTGTATTTATAGGTAATTCTTTACATTTATTAGTCGAAGTTTGTTTTTCTATTGCACGCCCACAAATGCCCTGGTACGGCCGAGAGTGGGGAGAGTCCACTCTCCCTCTCCAAATGCTCTCACATGGCCAGCGAATATATAGCCTCTGCCAGGGAAGTTCTACTCACTGCCTTCTCGTGGCGGGGGTGTTGTTTACGAAAGTGAGAGGACGAAAAGCGAATGTCCGGCGCTTTCACCGGGTTGGTGTGCACGGAGGGTCCACCTAGGGGAGTTGGAAAACCCTGATTCCTAACCAATGGTGCACATGGGCTCCAGTATCCTAATGGAACGAATGGCGAATGAACCTGCTGTTGGTCACCGACTACCACGGGACTGCATCTCCTCACGATGCTCCACTGCCTTGTGGATCAGACCTTTAGGTTAAAGGCTCGGGGTGTGGCCCCCTAAGAAAACCACCTGCTTCGGTATGGGCACCCGGCAGTATCACAGCCCACACACAAATAAATGAAATGATGAATTCTATTGACGATACTATTCTCGCTCATATTAGAAGCAAGACAATTTACACTATTATTATTACTATTATTTACTACGTAGCTTTTTCACTCCCTTTATTCCCAAATTGTGTATCCTTCCTTTTCAACTTATGCAGTAGCTCACTCATGGTGGAAACTCTGTCCTATCTAAACGATCTCCAGTCACTATCTGGTTGAAAGTAAATGCTTCCACCGATTATGAATACTGAAGCAGTCTTTCTGAAACCACGTACGCCGTTCAAGCTGGCTTCCTTCAACGTTCGCACGCTAATGCAGATCGGACAACAGATGGGGCTGGCTATGTCTTTAGAAAGTCTTAATGTTGATGTTTGCTGTCTATCCGAGACCCGTATTCAAGACTCTAGTTCTAGTGAAGTACTACAAATCCGCTCTCCATCTGTCGCCTCCAAAAGCTTGTTTCACGTGCGCTTATCCGGGGAATCTGTGGCATCTTCGTCTGGTCTTGCTGGCGTTGGTGTTGCACTAAGCGCTAGGGCTGAGGTAGCACTAATCGATTAGATCCCCATTAACAGTCGGTTATGTGTTGTTAGATTAGAAAGTTCCATCAAGGTGAGAAGAAACCGGCGTGAGAAACGGTGTCTTTTCGTCATCTCCGCCTATGCCCCGACAGATTGCAGCCTGGATGCAATCAAGGATGAGTTTTACCACCAGTTAACAGTTCTTCTCCAGAAAGCGCGTTCGACAGATATTGTAGTACTAGCCGGAGACTTGAATGCTTAGGTCGGGCGTCTAGGCACAGAACAGAGTCGTTTAGGTGGCCGATGGGGACTTGTTGGTAGCAGGACAGATAACAGGGATCGTTTGCTATAACTGTGCACAGACCACAACCTGTAACAAAGAAATTAAACGATTGAAATCGCTCTGAATTGAATAAAAGAAGCTTTCGCTTAGTTTGCTTCCGTATCTAGTAGCAGTGGATCACTTTTGACATGTATACTCTTACTGAGGAAGTTAGCCGACAAAAAAAGAACCTACTCCAAGACACCGCAATTCCTAACCGAAGGTGTAAATGCTGCAACTAAACAACAACTAAACGACAACGCAACAAATAAACTAGTGTTCAATAATAAGGAAAGTAATTTAGATTACTTCTAATTTTTATCGCATCTAAATCATGTTTCGAAAATCCTAGTTAAAAATGATCAACCTTAGCAATTAGGTTGATGTGACCTGTTCAAGGAGATGAATGGTTTTATATGTTGGTCCCTCAGTGAGATGAAGAGAGTCCCAACCCGAGGACGATAGACCTTTGATTTTAAAGATTATTTCAGCATCTTAATGGACGATCACATTATGGCAAATAACTGCCCAAAAACAACTTTATGACCATTTGTTACTTGAGCTATGTCAGTTTTATCGAACACAAGTGTCCATACAATATCACTTTTCAGACTATCGTAGAATACCACCGATTCTGTAATTGGTCAGCCTAAATTCGCATGTTTCGATAGTTTGGCATACTGACCGAATGTTTATATTACCTGAATATCAACGACTAATTCCTTACCTGTTCGTAATTGGGCGCAAACTTGCGTAAAATGCCAAAAAGTTAAGGTACATCGTCACACCAGTCCCGCAATAGGTCCTTTTCGTCATCCGGATAGCAGATTTGAGCATATACATATTGACATTGTAGGACCGCTGCCGATTTCAAACGGCTTTAGTTATATTTTTACGTGCATTGATAGATTTACGCGATGGCCTGTAGCAGTACCCATAAAAGACATTTCGGCCGAAACTATAGCCAAAACCTTAGTAGAGCATTGGATCTCTCATTATGGTGTGCCTGCACATATTACAACCGATCGAGGAGCCCGATTCGAGAGCCGCCTCTTTCAACAACTCACTGAACTCCTAGGAATCAAGCGTATTCGGACAACATCCTACCATCCGATGGCGAATGGTATGGTAGAAAGATTACATCGGCAACTCAAAGCCTCTCTTACATCTGTTATTAGCAATAACGATTGGGCTAGCAAGCTCCCATTAGTCATGTTAGGTTTAAGATCAACAATTAAACAAGATATAGGATGTTGCCCTGCACAGTTGGTTTATGGAACCACTTTACGTCTTCCTGGAGAGTTTTTCGCCTCAAGTAAAAGTGTTCCAACTGATTTAGCCAACTATGTACAACGTCTAAAGCAGCATATGGGTAATCTAAGAGTAACACTTCCGAGGCAACATCAACAACGTGTGTACATACCAAAACAACTGAGCGACAGTACCCATGTGTTTATTAGAAGGGATAATGTGCAGCGTCCCTTACAACCGGCTTACGATGGTCCATTTAAAGTTATTAGAAGAAATGATAAAACTATTACAGTAGATAAAGCCGGAAAAACGGATGTAATTAGCATAGACCGAGTCAAACCAGCTTTTATCGAAGCTGACGATCAGCCAGTATATACAGATCATCCGAAAAACGTCGAGTCACAGTAACGTGAGTCTCAATCATCAACGACATCGACGAACAAAAACGAAGAGAAACCAGTAACGACAAGATATGGTCGAAGAGTAAGATGGCCTCAACGATACATAGCCACGATTTTGAACTAATAATTTATTTCGCATCTTCAGATGTAAATTTCTTTCCTCTTCGTTTTGTATGTGTACATCGAAAACTTTAATTTATCCATTATTATAGTCAACAAAGTTTGCATATTCCAATGTAAATAAACCTCTAAAATCACTAACACATTATTTTGATCTGTTATTTTATCTGGCCTCACGCAAATATACGAACTCAAACTTACACGTACTTGTAGTAATTCACACGATAGTTCTTTCATACATCTTAATTTCATAAATTTTGATATTTAATGTCCTGTTAAGTTTAACATTTTTTTATTCGCAAACACAGACACTATTTTGTATCCATGTTTGCCGGGGGGGTAGCTATTATAGCAACTCAGATACAATTGAGTTTGTTTACATCTAATTCAGCTAAGCCTTTTTGTTAACTTATTTAATGGACAGTCATTCATACAATAGCAACCCATTTATACCATTGTACTTTTATTATATACGCTTGAACATTGCTCACTGCCTACGCATATATTCATTCCGCTAGCATTATTATTAATCGCTTATTTGATCCGATGATTCATGCTTTTCCACTTATATATATATGTACATCTTAATCCTGTTTACTACACTTGCCCTCTGCTCTGCACTACGCTACACCGTACTGTACATGCTTACTCATTCATTCGGCTCTACGGCACTGCTCTTTCATGCTTGCTTGACGTACCCGTAATATTGGATAACTGTGTGTGGTTCAGTAATAAACGTGACCAATCCTTCGTATTCTGATTTACACATCGTGAGGACGTTGTCGAGTAACGGTTATCAAGACGAACAATACACGAACCCTAGGGCTAATATCGAAAATCGACCACCACAATAGTCATTAAGTGAAACGCACAAATACACCGACCAGTACTGCACGTCTTATCGAAACGAATAAATATTATGAGTCACACCAATATAATAGGATTATAACGTCTTTCAGTCGGCATGTCACACGAGACAGTGATAGTCTACAAACACATCAGATCAGACTGACGTAGTGGGCATTTAAACAAAGATTTAATTAGTTAGTCGCGGACATAATTTATGAGCCATGTGGATAAATACTAAATAATCAGTAACATAAATGCCTGTTACAAAATCTTTGTCCTCACATCAGCATAGCCAGCACTAGTACTACATATAGTGTACGCGCTAAAAGTCCTCAAACCCATCCAAAACATACTTCAATAAACACCTTTGTAATAGAAGTATGTCGGCCTAGTCAAATCAGGAATGAAGAGATTCGAAGATGTATCTATAGAGCAATCGATATATAGAGAAGAGCTTGGTTCAAGCTGGCTAGAAGTTGCAAGGTATGCATGGCGTGGTGTACGGATGCTTCACCGAGGGTCCTCAGCTAGGATGTGTTCTGCAAAAGTAATGAAGTCATCATGGAATGAAGACCTACGGAACTCGAACACTACTAATCGAGTCAGAGCTTATAGCTAACTGTCATTTAGTTTCGCAACCTCAAGGGGTGTCCGACAAGGCTGTCCACTATTTCAATTTTTGTTCAAATTCTCCATAGACCTACTGCTGGAAACAACGTTCTCGTCTTCTGAATTTTCAGGAATTGATCTCCTACTATGAGGTCCACTTGTCAATTTACAATGCTCAGATGACATAGTCCTGTTTGGTGAAGACGCTGATAAAATGCAGTCTTTTGATAGCACTGAGCAACAATGCCAGGATGTTTGGAATGCGTTTGCCCCCTTTAAATGCAAGTTGTTTCTTCGGGACTGATCCGTATCGACATCTTAACTAAGGATAGGGAGTGAGGCAGTCGAACGCGTCGACAATTTCACTTATCTCGGAAGTTTGATCAGCCCTAATGGGTTGGTGTCTGGCGAAATCTCTGCGCAGATTCAGAAAGCTCGTTTGACTTTTGCCAAATTACGTCACCTATGGCGAATTCCAGATATCCGTCTATCAATTAAGGGACGAGTATACTGCGCAGCAGTTCGTTCTGTTCTACTTTACGGCTGTGAAACATGGCCATTAAGACTAGAAGATACTCGTAAGTTACTAGTATTTAATCACAGATGTCTTAGAAATATTGCTCGTAAAATGATATATATTGTACTTCCTATATTTTCTTGACTCGTTAGTACAAAGACAAAAACAAATTAGATGTTATCCCGTGCGACCCACAACTATTGTTGTCGTGACAACAGTGATAGTATTCGTGGTACAATTTATGTTTAATACCTTATCGTGGAAACCGAAACCGAAAATATAGGGTCTTTGCTAGCTTTGGTATTATCTTGACTCAACTCATGGTCACAGCTTACCGGTCACGCTACTGCGATATTTTTGTAAGCACATAGCGCATTCGGTACATATAACTCCAAAGAATAAAGAGAAAAATATACAGCATCAAGCATCACCGATGTAAGCTTTCTATACAGAAACGCTTAAGTACATTATCAACAAGTCAAAACATGAAACAGAGCAATTTATTTTAATAATCATAGCTTGTCTGAAAGAGTAGGTAAGGTGTGACATGGTATATACGTAGGATCTGTAAAGTAGTAGTGTGTGGAAGTCTTAGGTATCTGTGTTGAATATTTTAATTGGCTTTGTCTGGACGTCGATTGACTGGGCGGAGAATATGCTGGCCAAAAATCTGAAAGAGAACAAATTGAAATGTTAGTATTACGTGCACATGAAACCGAACGTAAGGGGCATATAAGGTTTATTTGTTCGAGTGTCCTCACTCTAAGCGCCTACAAACGGTTCAACCGTGACTCTACCCTATGTGAAAAACTTGGTCAGTGGGGGTAGTTAAATTAGATTAGAACTTACTGTCAAAACTGTACGCGATACCCAAGCTTGACTTCAGTATGTTGCGAACTGATTAATGGGAAGATTAACATAAATAACTATCAACTATGTGATATTCTTGCCAAGTATTAACGACATATCTGGGTTACTCTTTAAGTATTGAGTCACAATAAATTATTTGAGTACCTAATACATTAGGTGTTATGAAAAGGACGATTTAGACAATGATATTTCCTCATTGTCCCAATGTTACTACGAGTGATATTCTAGAGATAAGGTGCATTGACGTAGCCTAGACATTTTACTCGGAGAAATACTTCACGACCGTGATCATGTTGATAATACTGCATGGCAGTGTATAGAATAACACAGTTAACTGCTTAGTTGAATTGCAGGATACTACTTTTTTTCCTTCAGAATTTCTCAAAAGGGAGCACTATCGGTCTGTATAATAAGAATTAGAATGGTGTGTCGGCTCTAAAGTGATGTCTGCTTTGTAGCATCTTCTTCAGTCCCAGGTCATTAGTAGTCTATCCATATTCAAATTGTGTTAGTTTAAGCGTTAGAATTTAAAATTCCCGAAATATATATATGTATAATAGCTGTGTTGTACCTTTAGTATCTTAAAAACAGGATCAATACGATTGAAGAAATGACATAACAGTGAATGAGGAGAACTGTTGGGTTTACGTTTGGGTGACCAAATATCTTCACGTCCAGGTCCTAGACCAGAGTCAAGATGATTATCTGACTGGCTTTCTTCTTCATCACTAGTAGAACTGTCCATCATAGAACGAAGATGTGAAAATTTAGAGTGTAATGCTCGAGCGATAATTGCACATTGATCAGAGCCACTGGAACAAACAAACAAATGACCACACTTTTAATGGTTATAGAACTGTGGTGAAAATTTGCTCTCACTACACATACGAAATATTCTCACCTGATTGTAGGAGACCGTTTTTGTTTTATCGGTGTGCCACCGGGTGATCTTGGTATTGAACGTAGTTTAATGGATCCACTTTGTAATTCTTTCAACACTTGTGACATATCAGCAGGATTTTGTGATATCGACAAATTACTTTTTATTGGTGTAGATGTTTTATCTGTGCAATTATTCTGAAAAAGATATACAAAGTTATTTTATAACTGAAATAAGGAAACAATTTCTCTTAAATTAATAAGAATAAATAAGAAAATAAAAGTTCCCATGTTTATAGCTTTGGCATCCAATCAAAATATTCTCCTTATTAGTGTGAACCCACAGCTCTAAATTCGTAATTACTTTACGTCGATTAATCACCATCATTATACCAAAAGTGGAATTCTCCAGATAACAACTCATCAGTAGTTCAACACAAATTTGGTTCGTATAAAAACAAATAACATTCACTGAACTACTAGCAAGAAGTACATTAGCAGTTAAATAAATATGCAAGAATAATTACATGTTAAATTGCTCATCCAAAATACAAATTATATGCATGATCAATAGTCAACTATAATCAGAAAAGATTAATGGATGAAGACCAATATTCAATGATCAACTAATGTAAGTATCTCAGTATTCCAGGAGGTAGATCACTACCCAAATAGTTCACTGGCAACGCCTAAGACCATGTAACATGGAAAGTCATGTTCCAACCCACTAGGAAGAATAACTTCTCAAGAGATTGCCAGTTACGCTTTGCTGATAAGTGCAACTACCACAAAACCCATATCGAACAGGGTCTTCTGCAGACTAAACTAAAATATAGCGCACAAGATGTAAGATCACTTAGAGTAGTAACTTATAAATCAACAGAAGTTTATCAATACTAAAGACTAAACAAACATGACAATCACAACTACTCAGTGATCAATCAATGTAAATAGGATATTACCAGTATTAAATGTAATAACAAATTAGGAAATGTTAAAATCCAAGGATTGGTAGCTACTTCTCCCTGAGCAACTCATAGTATTAAACAGAAGAGAATTTAATTGTCAGATAATAAAAATGGAAACTCGGCTGTATATATATTTAGGTACCCTTTGTACCAATGTTTACGTGTTTAATTAAATAAATAATTAAAGAGGATACAAATAGTTAAATATTAAAGATGTTTGAACATGTGTATGAAAAAGGAACAGTGTAAGGCAATAATGAGTGCCTTTTCCAACAGACGGCAGAAAAAGGTCCATCATCAAATATATTGTGATCTTAACAAAATACTTATGAGTGATAATTAAAATATTAAAAAGGACAATTTTATGCTCAAAGTCTACTCAAAATTGTAGCATGAAATGTGATGTATATAGAAATAAAGCTTGCCGTTTGGTCTAACCGAAAACAACCAACGATTAATTATCAAAAAAGTTCCTAGCTGTGAAATAAAAATCACATACATAGAGAGGACTAAATTTCTTTGAACTATACCTTTTTACTTCTTAACCTTGCTTGCAATTGTTCTCTCCAATTACTACTACCATTTGCTCCTCCTTGTAGTGCAGGTGAAGAAATCATGGGCGGTGGTGGTGGCGGCGGCGGTAGTATTAATGATGTCGAAATTAAACTAGCTGAAGGAATATTAGATTCTAACAAATTGTTGTTAAACTTTGTTTCATCATGTTCCATCAAACTAGGTGATCCTGTGGCGGCGATGGCAGTATCACTCTCACCATCTGCATCTGGACGATGAGGAAAGCGATCTCGTCCTAAGTCACATGTGCTTGATTCGCCTAATTCTTGAGCCGAAATTAACTGAGCAATTTGTGATCTTAAACGAGAAATTTCAGCTTCTAATTGTGAAATACGATTTGATCTAGATGATGAATGAAAATGTTTATCAGAGCTGTCTGTAGTATCTGAAGTATTATTATTATGATACAATTTGCCATTATTTTTAGTAGACTCTTTAAGGCGCTTTCCTATATAATAAATGTTTTTCAGTATGAATAAAAAACGTTTACGGTTAGTAATTGACTACTCAACAATAATAAAAAAAATAAGCATACTTACAACAATTGGAAAGTCTAGCAAATCCAAATATTCAACTGTCTACTAAAATATGTGCAATGGTGGTCGTTTGCACATAGGAACAAGTTAGAAGAAGTCAAGCTAAAAACATGTATTATCACTGTCCATAAAGCGACTGATCAGTAGTGGGGTTTCAATTGTGTCAAGGCGTTGACTTTCTGTTTGAGGTCCACATGATAATCACAATGGATAGCGTTTTGAGACTTTAGCTATGATACAGCTTGAAATCGGTTGCAATATCACAGATGTATTCACAGTTTATTTTCTACAAAATCGTGGGTTTTATTATTATCAAACAACGAAATAATATGGACAGATGCCACCTGAAATGGATGTGGTGAAATGATGACAAGTGTCAACTAGCAGAAGACCTAATCTAGGAGTTCCTGTCGATCAGCTCTAACCATCTACCGTCATAAAATTATTTCTGCAACAGTACGCAAAACTTTACATTCAATTTACCAAAATTATACAAAAGATAAAATCACATACCTCTTTTATTTTTTCCACGATACCTATAATTACTGTACTGTGTTTTGTTTGATTTCATAATTAATTTTTGATCATTATTATCACCAGTAATGTTTTTTATAGATTTTATTTCAGAATCTGGTAAACTGGTATATATATTGGAAAATGAACCAACATAATACACTGGAACATTAGACTCTTGATAATTTTTAAATTTTTTATGTGAATTAAAAATAGAAAATGAACTGGAAACAGTATCTCGATTGTCATTGTAACAGGGTAAAGAAGTTAAATGTGAATTCCGATTTGGTTCGTTATAACTATCATCATCATTACTATTGATAGGATCTGTATAACTTGAAGTATATAACTAAAACAAAATAATATGTGGAATAAACAATAAAAAAGAGATTAATTATTGTGATCATTAAATAATGAAACTATTAAAAATTTTAATAACTAGTAGAGTATCGAGTTTCTATCAAAAGGAATTCCTGTTAAGATCCATTTTATAATACGGATCTTGAAAATGACTGAAGAAGAAATGATTCTTCTCTTATTCATAAATTAATTAATAGGAGATATAGGGGAAGATCCTTGCAAATTGTATCGTTAAACGTGAAAAGTAAATTGAAGATACATCTCTTTGTGATAACACTTCTAGATAGGGAGTCGGTATTCTACACACTTAGAGTATGATCCATACCCAAGTAATTAATTATTTATTGTACATTAGTATTTACCATAGCATTACCGATGTCTTTGCAGATAAGACAAATGGTTCCACGAAAGGGATGACATAATTGAGTACATGCAAAACAAATAGCATAGTAAGTTCAAATAATAATAATAATAATAATAATAATAATAATAATAATAATAATAATAATAATAATAATAATAATAATTGAGCTTACCACATTGGAATCTGATGCCGAACAATCACAATCATCATATTCTGAGTTTTTACTTAATAATACATTACTATCAATATTCAATCTCGGAGCCAATGAACCGTTTGGCAAGAATTTAACTATATATCGAACCGAGCAAAATGAACGTACGTAAGTTAGCTAGTGAGAGAATAAAAACAAAACACAATTGATTCAATAACAATTATTTGACGTTACTATACTATACGTTACTATACTTTCAGAGATAGCACTTTCATCAGCTAAACCCCCAGGAGTTGAACTTTTACCAGAAGGCTCACTTGTTGACTTAGAATACGTCGACGACATAGTTTTACTCGGTGAAGACGCTGACAACATGCAGAGTCTTCTGACCACTATAAGCAACTATGCAGGCATGTTCGGAATGCGATTCTCTCCCTCGAAGTGCAAAATGTTACTTCACGATTGGGTTGCATCGACACCTGAACTAATGATACGGAGTGAAGTTGTTGAGCGTGTAGACCACTTCACTTATCTTGGGAGTCTCATCAGCCCTTGTGGTCTGGTATGTGACGAAATCTCAGCACGGATACAGAAGGCTCGTCTAGCTTTTGCAAACTTGCGTCATTTATGGCGTACGCGAGATATCCGTCTAGCAACCAAAGGACGGTTTTACCGTGCAGCAGTTCGCTCCGTCCTACTTTATGGTAGTGAAACATGGCCAATAAGAGTAGAGGATATTCGTAGGCTACTAGTGTTCGATCATAGGTGTCTTCGAAGCATTGCTCGTATATCTTGGGACCACCGGGTAAGTAATGCAGTTGTTAGGAAACGATTACTAGGTAGGGATGGCAAATCGATTGATGAAGTAGTGAAACTTGATCAGTTGAGATGGCTGGGACATGTGTTACGTATGCCCGACCACCGACTGCCCCGACGTGCAATGTTTCATGGTGTAGGATTAGGTTAGAAGAAAGCTAGGGGTGGCCAGACCAAAACGTGGCACGAATCAATGAAGTCACTTACAAGTGGACTGGGCTATGTTGGTAGGTGTAGACTACCTGGTTGGGATTCGCGAGATGATAGCAACCGATGGTTAGAGACCTTGAATGACATGGCTCAAAATCGTTTGCAATGGCGAAGGTATATCCACTCTTTGTGTTCTACCAAATTCTAATCTGGATTTTTCATGTCTGTATCCTTTTTCTCTTTCCAAATTTATTTCACTGTACTATACTCCTTCAATAATTTCTTCAAACCCTAATCTTTTGGATTTCTGATTATACTCCTACTACTTCTACCACAATAAGATTTGAATTGACAACTGCATATCTGTGCTAATGTGGTATGGCAACTCGAACTGATGTACGTACGTACGAACTTCTACGTTGTGACTGACTGATTTGACGTTAGAAATAGGTAATTGAAAATTAGATTATTAAAAACCGCAATCTTTTTTAGTTTATTTCGATTTAATTTTACTCTGAACTGTTGCCAGTGATTTCAAATTGCTCAAGAAATGAATGTCGAATGTCCAACAAATACAAACATTATGAATATTTATACTTATTCAACAATATCTTTGAGAAATCACTCATTCAGGTGTGATGGATCCACTGTCTACATGCCGTCGAAGTTACAGGTCTTAGATAATGAAAGAAAATTGGTCAAGAGAATTGGAAACAAAAAGTGAACAGCACTGTTGGTAAAGCCATTTCTTAATGAAAATTAATATTTTGAATGGAATAGTAGTTGAATGAGGAAAACAACTCAGTGATAAGATAAAGTGGAGGGATCCTAGTAGCCAGGTTAACTTATATTGGAGAAATGTAGGTTGTTGATAAGTTGAGGTTCACGAGACAGCTGATATCAATGGTTATCATTCCCAAGTGACCCAATAAAACAAGGGCATCTCTATATACTGTTATATCCTAGTGAAGGTTAAAGTACGGGTAACTTCTGTGAACTAGTAATAGACTAATATTCCATAAATGTTCTTATTGTATAATTATTGAGTAATTAGGTTGTGTGTATCCATATTCATCTTACTATAAGCTTTATTTTGACCTATAGATCATTACTATATGTGTTAAGCTAAATTATTATTGGAATCTTACAAAATAGTGACACAGATTTGGATCAGACTTACCAAGTGTTGCAACATCATATTCAACGGGTATGTAGTCATCTAAACTGGCTGAATGTCAGTTGATTCGAAGAAATGAAAAATAACCTCTGTAAGACAAGAATTGTAACTACGAAGTTAGTCAAATATAAAACATTATTTTGATAAACATATACTGAATAAAAGCGAAACCCACTGACTAATAAAAAAGAATGGTGTTTTGGCGAAGAAAACTTTCTTTTCAATGATATCAATTTTATTGAGCTTTACAATTGTATTTATAGGTAATTCTTTACATTTATTAGTCGAAGTTTGTTTTTCTATTGCACGCCCACAAATGCCCTGGTACGGCCGAGAGTGGGGAGAGTCCACTCTCCCTCTCCAAATGCTCTCACATGGCCAGCGAATATATAGCCTCTGCCAGGGAAGTTCTACTCACTGCCTTCTCGTGGCGGGGGTGTTGTTTACGAAAGTGAGAGGACGAAAAGCGAATGTCCGGCGCTTTCACCGGGTTGGTGTGCACGGAGGGTCCACCTAGGGGAGTTGGAAAACCCTGATTCCTAACCAATGGTGCACATGGGCTCCAGTATCCTAATGGAACGAATGGCGAATGAACCTGCTGTTGGTCACCGACTACCACGGGACTGCATCTCCTCACGATGCTCCACTGCCTTGTGGATCAGACCTTTAGGTTAAAGGCTCGGGGTGTGGCCCCCTAAGAAAACCACCTGCTTCGGTATGGGCACCCGGCAGTATCACAGCCCACACACAAATAAATGAAATGATGAATTCTATTGACGATACTATTCTCGCTCATATTAGAAGCAAGACAATTTACACTATTATTATTACTATTATTTACTACGTAGCTTTTTCACTCCCTTTATTCCCAAATTGTGTATCCTTCCTTTTCAACTTATGCAGTAGCTCACTCATGGTGGAAACTCTGTCCTATCTAAACGATCTCCAGTCACTATCTGGTTGAAAGTAAATGCTTCCACCGATTATGAATACTGAAGCAGTCTTTCTGAAACCACGTACGCCGTTCAAGCTGGCTTCCTTCAACGTTCGCACGCTAATGCAGATCGGACAACAGATGGGGCTGGCTATGTCTTTAGAAAGTCTTAATGTTGATGTTTGCTGTCTATCCGAGACCCGTATTCAAGACTCTAGTTCTAGTGAAGTACTACAAATCCGCTCTCCATCTGTCGCCTCCAAAAGCTTGTTTCACGTGCGCTTATCCGGGGAATCTGTGGCATCTTCGTCTGGTCTTGCTGGCGTTGGTGTTGCACTAAGCGCTAGGGCTGAGGTAGCACTAATCGATTAGATCCCCATTAACAGTCGGTTATGTGTTGTTAGATTAGAAAGTTCCATCAAGGTGAGAAGAAACCGGCGTGAGAAACGGTGTCTTTTCGTCATCTCCGCCTATGCCCCGACAGATTGCAGCCTGGATGCAATCAAGGATGAGTTTTACCACCAGTTAACAGTTCTTCTCCAGAAAGCGCGTTCGACAGATATTGTAGTACTAGCCGGAGACTTGAATGCTTAGGTCGGGCGTCTAGGCACAGAACAGAGTCGTTTAGGTGGCCGATGGGGACTTGTTGGTAGCAGGACAGATAACAGGGATCGTTTGCTATAACTGTGCACAGACCACAACCTGTAACAAAGAAATTAAACGATTGAAATCGCTCTGAATTGAATAAAAGAAGCTTTCGCTTAGTTTGCTTCCGTATCTAGTAGCAGTGGATCACTTTTGACATGTATACTCTTACTGAGGAAGTTAGCCGACAAAAAAAGAACCTACTCCAAGACACCGCAATTCCTAACCGAAGGTGTAAATGCTGCAACTAAACAACAACTAAACGACAACGCAACAAATAAACTAGTGTTCAATAATAAGGAAAGTAATTTAGATTACTTCTAATTTTTATCGCATCTAAATCATGTTTCGAAAATCCTAGTTAAAAATGATCAACCTTAGCAATTAGGTTGATGTGACCTGTTCAAGGAGATGAATGGTTTTATATGTTGGTCCCTCAGTGAGATGAAGAGAGTCCCAACCCGAGGACGATAGACCTTTGATTTTAAAGATTATTTCAGCATCTTAATGGACGATCACATTATGGCAAATAACTGCCCAAAAACAACTTTATGACCATTTGTTACTTGAGCTATGTCAGTTTTATCGAACACAAGTGTCCATACAATATCACTTTTCAGACTATCGTAGAATACCACCGATTCTGTAATTGGTCAGCCTAAATTCGCATGTTTCGATAGTTTGGCATACTGACCGAATGTTTATATTACCTGAATATCAACGACTAATTCCTTACCTGTTCGTAATTGGGCGCAAACTTGCGTAAAATGCCAAAAAGTTAAGGTACATCGTCACACCAGTCCCGCAATAGGTCCTTTTCGTCATCCGGATAGCAGATTTGAGCATATACATATTGACATTGTAGGACCGCTGCCGATTTCAAACGGCTTTAGTTATATTTTTACGTGCATTGATAGATTTACGCGATGGCCTGTAGCAGTACCCATAAAAGACATTTCGGCCGAAACTATAGCCAAAACCTTAGTAGAGCATTGGATCTCTCATTATGGTGTGCCTGCACATATTACAACCGATCGAGGAGCCCGATTCGAGAGCCGCCTCTTTCAACAACTCACTGAACTCCTAGGAATCAAGCGTATTCGGACAACATCCTACCATCCGATGGCGAATGGTATGGTAGAAAGATTACATCGGCAACTCAAAGCCTCTCTTACATCTGTTATTAGCAATAACGATTGGGCTAGCAAGCTCCCATTAGTCATGTTAGGTTTAAGATCAACAATTAAACAAGATATAGGATGTTGCCCTGCACAGTTGGTTTATGGAACCACTTTACGTCTTCCTGGAGAGTTTTTCGCCTCAAGTAAAAGTGTTCCAACTGATTTAGCCAACTATGTACAACGTCTAAAGCAGCATATGGGTAATCTAAGAGTAACACTTCCGAGGCAACATCAACAACGTGTGTACATACCAAAACAACTGAGCGACAGTACCCATGTGTTTATTAGAAGGGATAATGTGCAGCGTCCCTTACAACCGGCTTACGATGGTCCATTTAAAGTTATTAGAAGAAATGATAAAACTATTACAGTAGATAAAGCCGGAAAAACGGATGTAATTAGCATAGACCGAGTCAAACCAGCTTTTATCGAAGCTGACGATCAGCCAGTATATACAGATCATCCGAAAAACGTCGAGTCACAGTAACGTGAGTCTCAATCATCAACGACATCGACGAACAAAAACGAAGAGAAACCAGTAACGACAAGATATGGTCGAAGAGTAAGATGGCCTCAACGATACATAGCCACGATTTTGAACTAATAATTTATTTCGCATCTTCAGATGTAAATTTCTTTCCTCTTCGTTTTGTATGTGTACATCGAAAACTTTAATTTATCCATTATTATAGTCAACAAAGTTTGCATATTCCAATGTAAATAAACCTCTAAAATCACTAACACATTATTTTGATCTGTTATTTTATCTGGCCTCACGCAAATATACGAACTCAAACTTACACGTACTTGTAGTAATTCACACGATAGTTCTTTCATACATCTTAATTTCATAAATTTTGATATTTAATGTCCTGTTAAGTTTAACATTTTTTTATTCGCAAACACAGACACTATTTTGTATCCATGTTTGCCGGGGGGGTAGCTATTATAGCAACTCAGATACAATTGAGTTTGTTTACATCTAATTCAGCTAAGCCTTTTTGTTAACTTATTTAATGGACAGTCATTCATACAATAGCAACCCATTTATACCATTGTACTTTTATTATATACGCTTGAACATTGCTCACTGCCTACGCATATATTCATTCCGCTAGCATTATTATTAATCGCTTATTTGATCCGATGATTCATGCTTTTCCACTTATATATATATGTACATCTTAATCCTGTTTACTACACTTGCCCTCTGCTCTGCACTACGCTACACCGTACTGTACATGCTTACTCATTCATTCGGCTCTACGGCACTGCTCTTTCATGCTTGCTTGACGTACCCGTAATATTGGATAACTGTGTGTGGTTCAGTAATAAACGTGACCAATCCTTCGTATTCTGATTTACACATCGTGAGGACGTTGTCGAGTAACGGTTATCAAGACGAACAATACACGAACCCTAGGGCTAATATCGAAAATCGACCACCACAATAGTCATTAAGTGAAACGCACAAATACACCGACCAGTACTGCACGTCTTATCGAAACGAATAAATATTATGAGTCACACCAATATAATAGGATTATAACGTCTTTCAGTCGGCATGTCACACGAGACAGTGATAGTCTACAAACACATCAGATCAGACTGACGTAGTGGGCATTTAACCAAAGATTTAATTAGTTAGTCGCGGACATAATTTATGAGCCATGTGGATAAATACTAAATAATCAGTAACATAAATGCCTGTTACAAAATCTTTGTCCTCACATCAGCATAGCCAGCACTAGTACTACATATAGTGTACGCGCTAAAAGTCCTCAAACCCATCCAAAACATACTTCAATAAACACCTTTGTAATAGAAGTATGTCGGCCTAGTCAAATCAGGAATGAAGAGATTCGAAGATGTATCTATAGAGCAATCGATATATAGAGAAGAGCTTGGTTCAAGCTGGCTAGAAGTTGCAAGGTATGCATGGCGTGGTGTACGGATGCTTCACCGAGGGTCCTCAGCTAGGATGTGTTCTGCAAAAGTAATGAAGTCATCATGGAATGAAGACCTACGGAACTCGAACACTACTAATCGAGTCAGAGCTTATAGCTAACTGTCATTTAGTTTCGCAACCTCAAGGGGTGTCCGACAAGGCTGTCCACTATTTCAATTTTTGTTCAAATTCTCCATAGACCTACTGCTGGAAACAACGTTCTCGTCTTCTGAATTTTCAGGAATTGATCTCCTACTATGAGGTCCACTTGTCAATTTACAATGCTCAGATGACATAGTCCTGTTTGGTGAAGACGCTGATAAAATGCAGTCTTTTGATAGCACTGAGCAACAATGCCAGGATGTTTGGAATGCGTTTGCCCCCTTTAAATGCAAGTTGTTTCTTCGGGACTGATCCGTATCGACATCTTAACTAAGGATAGGGAGTGAGGCAGTCGAACGCGTCGACAATTTCACTTATCTCGGAAGTTTGATCAGCCCTAATGGGTTGGTGTCTGGCGAAATCTCTGCGCAGATTCAGAAAGCTCGTTTGACTTTTGCCAAATTACGTCACCTATGGCGAATTCCAGATATCCGTCTATCAATTAAGGGACGAGTATACTGCGCAGCAGTTCGTTCTGTTCTACTTTACGGCTGTGAAACATGGCCATTAAGACTAGAAGATACTCGTAAGTTACTAGTATTTAATCACAGATGTCTTAGAAATATTGCTCGTAAAATGATATATATTGTACTTCCTATATTTTCTTGACTCGTTAGTACAAAGACAAAAACAAATTAGATGTTATCCCGTGCGACCCACAACTATTGTTGTCGTGACAACAGTGATAGTATTCGTGGTACAATTTATGTTTAATACCTTATCGTGGAAACCGAAACCGAAAATATAGGGTCTTTGCTAGCTTTGGTATTATCTTGACTCAACTCATGGTCACAGCTTACCGGTCACGCTACTGCGATATTTTTGTAAGCACATAGCGCATTCGGTACATATAACTCCAAAGAATAAAGAGAAAAATATACAGCATCAAGCATCACCGATGTAAGCTTTCTATACAGAAACGCTTAAGTACATTATCAACAAGTCAAAACATGAAACAGAGCAATTTATTTTAATAATCATAGCTTGTCTGAAAGAGTAGGTAAGGTGTGACATGGTATATACGTAGGATCTGTAAAGTAGTAGTGTGTGGAAGTCTTAGGTATCTGTGTTGAATATTTTAATTGGCTTTGTCTGGACGTCGATTGACTGGGCGGAGAATATGCTGGCCAAAAATCTGAAAGAGAACAAATTGAAATGTTAGTATTACGTGCACATGAAACCGAACGTAAGGGGCATATAAGGTTTATTTGTTCGAGTGTCCTCACTCTAAGCGCCTACAAACGGTTCAACCGTGACTCTACCCTATGTGAAAAACTTGGTCAGTGGGGGTAGTTAAATTAGATTAGAACTTACTGTCAAAACTGTACGCGATACCCAAGCTTGACTTCAGTATGTTGCGAACTGATTAATGGGAAGATTAACATAAATAACTATCAACTATGTGATATTCTTGCCAAGTATTAACGACATATCTGGGTTACTCTTTAAGTATTGAGTCACATAAAATCGTTTGAATACTTAATACATTAGCTGATATGGAAAGGACGATTTAGACAATGATATTTCATCATTGTCTCAACGTTACTACGAGTGATATTCTAGAGATAACCTTGGCGAAGGTGCATTGACGTAGCCTAGACATTTTACTCGGAGAAAATCTTCACGACCGTGATCATGTTGATAATACTGCATGGCAGTGTATAGAATAACACAGTTAACTGCTTAGTTAGATTGCAGGATACTACTTTTTTTCCTTCAGAATTTCTCAAAAAGGAGCACTATCGGTCTGTATAATAAGAAATAGAATGGTGTGTCGGCTCTAAAGTGATGTCTGCTTTGTAGCATCTTCTTCAGTCCCAGGTCATTAGTAGTCTACTCATAATCAAATTGTGTTAGTTTAAGCGTTAGATTTTAAAATTCCCGAAATATATATATGTATAATAGCTGTGTTGTACGTTTAGTATCTTAAAGACAGGATCAGTATGATTAAGGAAATGACATACCAGTGAATGAGGAGAACCGTTGGGTTTACGTTTGGGTGACCAAATATCTTCACGTCCAGGTCCTAGGCCAGAGTCAAGATGATTATCTGACTGGCTTTTTTCTTCACCGCTAGTAGAATTGTCCATCATAGAACGAAGATGTGAAAATTTAGAGTGTAATGCTCGAGCGATAATTGCACACGGATCAGAGCCACTGGAACAAACAAACAAAAGATCACACTTTTAATGGTTATAGAACTGTGGTGAAAATTTGCTCTCACTACACATACGAAATATTCTCACCTGATTGTAGGAGACCGTTTTTGTTTTATCGGTGTGCCACCGGGTGATCTTGGTATTGAACGTAGTTTAATGGATCCACTTTGTAATTCTTTCAACACTTGTGACATATCAGCAGGATTTTGTGATATCGACAAATTACTTTTTATTGGTGTAGATGTTTTATCTGTGCAATTATTCTGAAAAAGATATACAAAGTTATTTTATAACTGAAATAAGGAAACAATTTCTCTTAAATTAATAAGAATAAATAAGAAAATAAAAGTTCCCATGTTTATAGCTTTGGCATCCAATCAAAATATTCTCCTTATTAGTGTGAACCCACAGCTCTAAATTCGTAATTACTTTACGTCGATTAATCACCATCATTATACCAAAAGTGGAATTCTCCAGATAACAACTCATCAGTAGTTCAACACAAATTTGGTTCGTATAAAAACAAATAACATTCACTGAACTACTAGCAAGAAGTACATTAGCAGTTAAATAAATATGCAAGAATAATTACATGTTAAATTGCTCATCCAAAATACAAATTATATGCATGATCAATAGTCAACTACAATCAGAAAAGATTAAAGGATGAAGACCAATATTCAATGATCAACTAATGTAAGTATCTCAGTATTCCAGGAGGTAGATCACTACCCAAATAGTTCACTGGCAACGCCTAAGACCATGTAACATGGAAAGTCATGTTCGAACCCACTAGGAAGAATAACTTCTCAAGAGATTGGCAGTTGCGCTTTGCTGATAAGTGCCAACTACCACAAAACCCATATCGAACAGGGTCTTCTGCAGACTAAACTAAAATATAGCGCACAAGATGTAAGATCACTTAGAGTAGTAACTTATAAATCAACAGAAGTTTATCAATACTAAAGACTAAACAAACATGACAATCACAACTACTCAGTGATCAATCAATGTAAATAGGATATTACCAGTATTAAATGTAATAACAAATTAGGAAATGTTAAAATCCAAGGATTGGTAGCTACTTCTCCCTGAGCAACTCATAGTATTAAACAGAAGAGAATTTAATTGTCAGATAATAAAAATGGAAACTCGGCTGTATATATATATATATATTTTTAGGTACCCCTTTGTACCAATGTTTACGTGTTTAATTAAATAAATAATAAAAGGAAACAAATAGTTAAATATTAAAGATGTTTGAACATGTGTATGAAAAAGGAACAGTGTAAGGCAATAATGAGTGCCTTTTCCAACAGACGGCAGAAAAAGGTCCATCATCAAATATATTGTGATCTTAACAAAATACTTATGAGTGATAATTAAAATATTAAAAAGGACAATTTTATGCTCAAAGTCTACTCAAAATTGTAGCATGAAATGTGATGTATATAGAAATAAAGCTTGCCGTTTGGTCTAACCGAAAACAACCAACGATTAATTATCAAAAAAGTTCCTAGCTGTGAAATAAAAATCACATACATAGAGAGGACTAAATTTCTTTGAACTATACCTTTTTACTTCTTAACCTTGCTTGCAATTGTTCTCTCCAATTACTACTACCATTTGCTCCTCCTTGTAGTGCAGGTGAAGAAATCATGGGCGGTGGTGGTGGCGGCGGCGGTAGTATTAATGATGTCGAAATTAAACTAGCTGAAGGAATATTAGATTCTAACAAATTGTTGTTAAACTTTGTTTCATCATGTTCCATCAAACTAGGTGATCCTGTGGCGGCGATGGCAGTATCACTCTCACCATCTGCATCTGGACGATGAGGAAAGCGATCTCGTCCTAAGTCACATGTGCTTGATTCGCCTAATTCTTGAGCCGAAATTAACTGAGCAATTTGTGATCTTAAACGAGAAATTTCAGCTTCTAATTGTGAAATACGATTTGATCTAGATGATGAATGAAAATGTTCATCAGAGCTGTCTGTAGTATCTGAAGTATTATTATTATGATACAATTTGCCATTATTTTTAGTAGACTCTTTAAGGCGCTTTCCTATATAATAAATGTTTTTCAGTATGAATAAAAAACGTTTACGGTTAGTAATTGACTACTCAACAATAATAAAAAAAATAAGCATACTTACAACAATTGGAAAGTCTAGCAAATCCAAATATTCAACTGTCTACTAAAATATGTGCAATGGTGGTCGTTTGCACATAGGAACAAGTTAGAAGAAGTCAAGCTAAAAACATGTATTATCACTGTCCATAAAGCGACTGATCAGTAGTGGGGTTTCAATTGTGTCAAGGCGTTGACTTTCTGTTTGAGGTCCACATGATAATCACAATGGATAGCGTTTTGAGACTTTAGCTATGATACAGCTTGAAATCGGTTGCAATATCACAGATGTATTCACAGTTTATTTTCTACAAAATCGTGGGTTTTATTATTATCAAACAACGAAATAATATGGACAGATGCCACTTGAAATGGATGTGGTGAAATGATGACAAGTGTCAACTAGCAGAAGACCTAATCTAGGAGTTCCTGTCGATCAGCTCTAACCATCTACCGTCATAAAATTATTTCTGCAACAGTACGCAAAACTTTACATTCAATTTACCAAAATTATACAAAAGATAAAATCACATACCTCTTTTATTTTTTCCACGATACCTATAATTACTGTACTGTGTTTTGTTTGATTTCATAATTAATTTTTGATCATTATTATCACCAGTAATGTTTTTTATAGATTTTATTTCAGAATCTGGTAAACTGGTATATATATTGGAAAATGAACCAACATAATACACTGGAACATTAGACTCTTGATAATTTTTAAAATTTTTATGTGAATTAAAAATAGAAAATGAACTGGAAACAGTATCTCGATTGTCATTGTAACAGGGTAAAGAAGTTAAATGTGAATTCCGATTTGGTTCGTTATAACTATCATCATCATTACTATTGATAGGATCTGTATAACTTGAAGTATATAACTAAAACAAAATAATATGTGGAATAAACAATAAAAAAGAGATTAATTATTGTGATCATTAAATAATGAAACTATTAAAAATTTTAATAACTAGTAGAGTATCGAGTTTCTATCAAAAGGAATTCCTGTTAAGATCCATTTTATAATACGGATCTTGAAAATGACTGAAGAAGAAATGATTCTTCTCTTATTCATAAATTAATTAATAGGAGATATAGGGGAAGATCCTTGCAAATTGTATCGTTAAACGTGAAAAGTAAATTGAAGATACATCTCTTTGTGATAATACTTCTAGATAGGGAGTCGGTATTCTACACACTTAGAGTATGATCCATACCCAAGCAATTATTTATTCATTGTACATTAGTATTTACCATAGCATTACCGATGTCTTTGCAGATAAGACAAATGGTTCCACGAAAGGGATGACATTAGTGAAAAGTGATAAAACATTGAGAGCGACTTAGATACCAGTCTTACACAGCTTCCCTTCAAACCACGGTGTCACGTCATAAACTGACCACCTCTCCTCCATTCCTATTCTGCCCTACAGTCCGTGATTAATTCTTAATGTAGAAGTCATGGGGATGACATTTATAAAACATTTCCATCCCACCAACACTGGTGTCTCTAGACGATGACACTAATCGCATCCAAATTGTTACGTCCTTGATCTGTCTACCCACTTTCGTGCCGAGGATAACTTGCCTAATGTAGATCAAGACCTTGACTCAATAGGCTGACTGGCTCAACTTTGAGGCTAGTATGAGTGAGTTCAAAGTGGGGGTAGAGAGTCGAAAACTATTCTATCCCTGATTGGCTGACAGGCACCCGAGAGAGAGAAGACAAGACGACTGGAACACTACTCGCTTTATTCCAAATTCCGATCTAGTACCCGATTTCAGATTAGTGTAAAAAGATACATCAATAAATAGATGACTAACGCGAGCACAACGTACAATAATTAGGGAAATACGATTATGTCCAAAAATGGGGGATTACAGTAGAAAATAGAGTACGAAAGGTTACGTCTAAATTACAATAGCAACTTTAAAAAAAGTTAGGTTTAATAAACACAGGACAGACCTGCTCTTAATAATAATAAAAAAACCTAATATACTTACCGAATATGAAGTGTAAATAATTGTGTACATGCAAAACAAATAGCATAGTAAGTTCAAATAATAATAATAATAATAATAATAATAATAATAATAATAATAATAATAATTGAGCTTACCACATTGGAATCTGATGCCGAACAATCACAATCATCATATTCTGAGTTTTTACTTAATAATACATTACTATCAATATTCAATCTCGGAGCCAATGAACCGTTTGGCAAGAATTTAACTATATATCGAACCGAGCAAAATGAACGTACGTAAGTTAGCTAGTGAGAGAATAAAAACAAAACACAATTGATTCAATAACAATTTTTGACGTTAGAAATAGGTAATTGAAAATTAGATTATTAAAAACCGCAATCTTTTTTAGTTTATTTCGATTTAATTTTACTCTGAACTGTTGCCAGTGATTTCAAATTGCTCAAGAAATGAATGTCGAATGTCCAACAAATACAAACATTATGAATATTTATACTTATTCAACAATATCTTTGAGAAATCACTCATTCAGGTGTGATGGATCCACTGTCTACATGCCGTCGAAGTTACAGGTCTTAGATAATGAAAGAAAATTGGTCAAGAGAATTGGAAACAAAAAGTGAACAGCACTGTTGGTAAAGCTATTTCTTAATGAAAATTAATATTTTGAATGGAATAGTAGTTGAATGAGGAAAACAACTCAGTGATAAGATAAAGTGGAGGGATCCTAGTAGCCAGGTTAACTTATATTGGAGAAATGTAGGTTGTTGATAAGTTGAGGTTCACGAGACAGCTGATATCAATGGTTATCATTCCCAAGTGACCCAATAAAACAAGGGCATCTCTATATACTGTTATATCCTAGTGAAGGTTAAAGTACGGGTAACTTCTGTGAACTAGTAATAGACTAATATTCCATAAATGTTCTTATTGTATAATTATTGAGTAATTAGGTTGTGTGTATCCATATTCATCTTACTATAAGCTTTATTTTGACCTATAGATCATTACTATATGTGTTAAGCTAAATTATTATTGGAATCTTACAAAATAGTGACACAGATTTGGATCAGACTTACCAAGTGTTGCAACATCATATTCAACGGGTATGTAGTCATCTAAACTGGCTGAATGTCAGTTGATTCGAAGAAATGAAAAATAACCTCTGTAAGACAAGAATTGTAACTACGAAGTTAGTCAAATATAAAACATTATTTTGATAAACACATACTGAATAAAAGCGAAACCCACTGACTAATAAAAAAGAATGGTGTTTTGGCGAAGAAAACTTTCTTTTCAATGATATCAATTTTATTGAGCTTTACAATTGTATTTATAGGTAATTCTTTACATTTATTAGTCGACAATAAAATAAAACAAGTTTACCAACGATAATCACAAGCATTCAAGTATCAAGTGAGAAAGTTTGTAAAAATGGAGTAGTGTTGTGCCATTTCGTAAAATAATCAAAGATCATCAAGGCTTTATTTGTTGGACAAGGTTTTTTTCATGCAGATATGACATGTCAACTATAAACAACATAAATACTAGTTTTACAATATATGGGCTCCAGTATCCTGATGGAACGAATGGCGAATGAACCTGCTGTTGGTCACCGGCTACCACGGGACTGCATCTCCTCACGATGCTCCACTGCCTTGTGGATCAGACCTTTAGGTCAAAGGCTCGGGGTGTGGCCCCCTAAGAAAACCACCTGCTTCGGTATGGGCACCCGGGCAGTATCACAGCCCACACACAAATAAATGAAATGATGAATTCTATTGACGATACTATTCTCGCTCATATTAGAAGCAAGACAATTTACACTATTATTATTACCATTATTTACTACGTAGCTTTTTCACTCCCTTTATTCCCAAATTGTGTATCCTTCCTTTTCAACTTATGCAGTAGCTCACTCATGGTGGAAACTCTGTCCTATCTAAACGATCTCCAGTCACTATCTGGTTGAAAGGAAACGCTTCCACCGATTATGAATACTGAAGCAGTCTTTCTGAAACCACGTACGCCGTTCAAGCTGGCTTCCTTCAACGTTCGCACGCTAATGCAGATCGGACAACAGATGGGGCTGGCTATGTCTTTAGAAAGTCTTAATGTTGATGTTTGCTGTCTATCCGAGACCCGTATTCAAGACTCTAGTTCTAGTGAAGTACTACAAATCCGCTCTCCATCTGTCGCCTCCAAAAGCTTGTTTCACGTGCGCTTATCCGGGGAATCTGTGGCATCTTCGTCTGGTCTTGCTGGCGTTGGTGTTGCACTAAGCGCTAGGGCTGAGGTAGCACTAATATATATTCCCCTGTCCTTATTATGTATTGATTGTTCCTTGTTGATGGACACTTATTGATTGACTGTTCTTTGTGTCAGATTTTGGTATGGAAATATATTGACGTTGTAGTCAGGCTAATCTCGTGTTCTTGATCTGAGTTCTGTTGAAGTCCAGTAGAATAGACACTCGGTGTGAATCTAGTGTAGATATTCGTCTAAGATAAATTAACGTCCTACATACGTGTAAGAAGTAAAAGGACTGTTATAACAAGAACCCCTGCTGTTATAACCAGCATCCTCTCCTTAAGTTTATAACAATTGGCGACGGTGAATAAAACGGACCTACGCTTACATATTCAGTCAAAGTGAATTTTGTATCAAGAAAATTGATGATCTGAAAACCTTATTGCAACAGCAAAATACTCTTATCGAATTATTAGTCAAAAATGTGTCGATATCCTCAAGAACTGATGTGTCTAATTCTACTATGACTCCGGATTCTATTGCAAATTCAATAACTGAATTTAGATTTGATCCAGAAAGTGGAGTTACTTTTGAGGCCTGGTTTAAACGCCATGAGGATTTGTTTATTACTGAATGTAAAGAGTGGGGCGAAAGTTCAAAATTGAGATTATTATTACGAAAGCTCGGAGTGTCCGAACATGAAAAATTCTGTAATTTTATCCTCCCAAAAAGCCAACCGACATAACGTTCAAAGAAACAGTCGAATGCCTGACACGTTTATATGGAGAACGGTCATCAATTTTTCACACTAGATACTAGTGTCTTCAACTTGTAAAGAAAGTACAGGACGTTTACGTAACGTATGCAAGTATCGTGAACCGGGAATGTGAGCAGTTCCGTTTACGGGAAATGTCCTCAGATCAGTTCAAGTGCTTTATTTTTGTATGTGGATTACAATCTCCAGTAGATGCAGATATTAGAACACGGATTCTAACGAGAATCGAACAAGATCCTAATATCAGTCTACAATTAGTATCCGAAGAGTGTCACAGAATGATTAATTTGAAGCATGACACGAAACTCGTAGAAAGGAACAGTGAACACGTTGGAGTTAAAGCTTTACGTAAACCTTTTAATGGAAATAAAGATTCGAACTCCCAGAAAATCCCAAATCAAGTGAAATACAAAACGTCATGTTGGCGATGTGGTAAGTCTCATTCTGTCAAAGTTTGTTACTTTAAAAAACGAGTATGCTTTCATTGTGGTAAATATGGTCATGCTCAAGTATGTTGTAAAAGTAAACCAAAGGTTTCTGACCGTGAGCATAAGTCCCGTAAAAGAAATAAGATGCAGAATGCAAAAGTAATGCCTATAACTCAAATGTTCTGGCCACAAAAAGTGACCAATTCTTATCCAAAAGGAAGTATGTAACCATTTTTTTCGATGGCAGACCGGTCAAACTACAAACTACGATACTGGGTCTGACATAACATTAATTTCTAGAGAAACTTGGATTAAAATTGGTCGACCCCGATATCAACCTACATGTCATAATGCCAAGAGTGCATCAGGAATTAATATTACTCTTCTTGGAGTAATACAGCTACCTCTCACGTTTGGTGAAAAGACTATGACCGGGAAATGTTACGTATCAGGGAACTGTAATACCAATCTATTAGGTATTGATTGGATTGATAAATTTGGTTTGTGGGATTTACCGTTGAATGTGCCGAAAGCAGAATCCCAGTCATGGCCAGAAACGACAAAGCCTTGGGTCCGACTACATGTTGATTATGCTGGATCTATAAGTGGACAATATTTTTTGGTGGTGGTAGATTCGTACTCGAAGTGGCCTGAAATTTATGTGGTACGAAGACCATCTACGTCTGAAGCACTGCTACATCTGAGACAACTATTTGGTAAGTTTGGTACACCTAATGTTTTGGTTTCAGATAACGGGACGCAGTTCACGTCGTTAGAGTTTACGGAGTTCTGTAAACAGAATGGAATCGAACACGTTAGAACTCCACCGTATCACCGTAAGTCGAACGGGCAGGCAGAGAAATTTGTTGATATTCTTAAACGAGCTCTCTTAAAGATGGGAGGAGAAGGCAACGTAGAAGAGGCTCTACAACAATTTCTCATTTCTTATAGAATTACTCCAAGTCCAAACTGTCAAGATGGGAAATCTCCAGCCGAAATAATGTTTGGCCGACCGATTAGAACATTTTTTGATATTTTGAACCCGAAAGACAGAATCAGTGAACTACAAAAAAATAAGAAAGGGAATCGCCCGAAAATTCGAGAATTCAAAGTAGGTGACTCAGTCTATGCACGGGATTTCCGGCCTGGCAAGCCAAAATGGATATTTGAGTTTATAAAAAAACGATGTGGTACAGTATTATATGAAGTGATGGTCGAAAATACACTAATTATTAGACATGTAAATCAACTGCGAGATAGGAAAAATGTTTATGAGTCATCTAAACTCAAACCATTACCAATGGAAGTATTATGTGATACATTTGATATTCCACCACCACCACAAGTTGAAATGAGAAAAAATGATCCAGAATCAGAAGTTAGACGAAGGTCATTCAGGAAACGGAAACAAACGAAATTTTTTCAAATAGACCCCAAAGTGAAATCATACGATCAAACTCAGCGAGGGAGGTGATGTGTGGGCGAGAATGACAGTGATTGGTTGTCTCGATGAGTCAGACATTAGACAGGATGACAGGTGTTATGTGTTATATATATATATATTCCCCTGTCCTTATTATGTATTGATTGTTCCTTGTTGATGGACACTTATTGATTGACTGTTCTTTGTGTCAGATTTTGGTATGGAAATATATTGACGTTGTAGTCAGGCTAATCTCGTGTTCTTGATCTGAGTTCTGTTGAAGTCCAGTAGAATAGACACTCGGTGTGAATCTAGTGTAGATATTCGTCTAAGATAAATTAACGTCCTACATACGTGTAAGAAGTAAAAGGACTGTTATAACAAGAACCCCTGCTGTTATAACCAGCATCCTCTCCTTAAGTTTATAACAATTGGCGACGGCATACTTACGTTTATAACAAAACGTTACGTCTAAATTACAATAGCTTTGAAACGGAAAAGGCTATGGCAGTGAATCGTACATCAAACGAAAGCTTATGATCTGTAGAATAGACTAGGGGCAAAAGTAAATGTTGCTATTATACAAGCTTTGAATTAAGTGAAATAACGTCCCTCAAAATAGCTTCCCTAGTTTGTCAAGGCCTCTTGTTTCTCTGTACACATAACAAACAAATTACCGGGTCTCATTACTACCATGATGAAACGAATAAATATTATAAGTCACACCAATATAATAGGATTATAACGTCTTTCAGTTGGCATGTCACACGAGACAGTGATAGTCTACAAACACATCAGATCAGACTGACGTAGTGGGCATTTAAACAAAGATTTAATTAGTTAGTCGCGGACATAATTAACGAGCCATGTGGATAAATACTAAATAATCAGTAACATAAATGCCTGTTACAAAATCTTTGTCCTCATATATATATATATATATATATATATATATATATATATATATATATATATATTAAAGATTCCCATTGTGAAAATTAGAACAACATATGTAAGCGAACAATTGTTTTCAATTAGATCGTCATCAGGCTTTACTCTAATATACATGAATATTTATATAAAAATGTTAGACCAATCAAGGCTATTTGAGTCAATAATAATCACAATGAAATAGAAATACGTTACCAAGCATAATAATAGTTAAAAGTACAAGTTGATAGTGGGAAGACAGGTGTACTGATAGTAGTAAGAATAGTAAATTACGATAACAAAAGTCTTATC